TATATGTTTTTGCTATTTTTATTATCCTAATCTTATATATAATATAAAAAAATTAAAGGATATTAGAATTTATAATTTCAATTTAGTACATTATAAATAAATACACATTTTTTAACTAAATATAATCTTTTACTATTTATGAGTAATACGAGCCATTTTTTTAAGGCATTTTTTATAACGTGGAGCTATGTCACGATTGTAAAATTTGATCAAATAACAAATTTGAATATCAACAAAATAGTGTATCAGTTTTCTCTCCAAATGCGATGCATGTTTTGGGTGGAGGTTGTGTAAAAAAACGAAATTGCAGTCTTTCTTGATAGCTTTAATGATAGTTCCTGCTATATTTTTGCATACAATTATTTTATTAATGTTGTTAGTGAAAATGGCTTCCATTACTCTTACAACTTCGCGTAAACAAGAACTTGGTTCTACTGAATGATTTTTTGTTTCATATTTCTTAGTATAGACAAATTCATCAAAATTACCACAGATTTCAGCAGATGGTTGAGATAAAATATTTGTGCATAATTGACATAAAGAAACTTTTTTAATTAGCCAACCAGCAAGAGAACATAAACTCTGTTCTACAGTTTCAGAACATATTTGTAATTTCAAATCCTTTATTAGTATCAAAGGTTTTACATTACCTATGTGAGTTGACTTTTGTTCATTGAATAATGAGTTATTTGCTACATTACTTTGTTCATTTACTAAATTAAGGCATAAGTCTAACGATATTGCTGCAGTAAAATCAGATTCTGAAACACAATTTGTATTAGACTTAGTTTGTTCAACAGAAGTAAGTAGTAAAGCATTTTGGTATGCAGACTTAAATTGTTTGGCTGTTGGCCTGTCATTCCAACCACCTTTACTTCTTATAATCGAAAAAAAATTCTCTATACAGTCCTGATTGAAATGTGATGTGCAAACAAAATGAAAACCTTCACCAAGCAACTCTCTGGACAATGTCATAATATTGTTTATTGTTGTTATAAGTCCCCAGTGACTGGAAATACTAGTCTGACTTCTAGCATTTTCATAATGCCATGTAGAAATCCAATTCTTAATATCTTCCAAGGTTTTCATAGTCTCTCCTTCAGTTAATGCACACCTATCTGGTTTGTCTGCTTTAAATTTTCTAGAGTTCGTTATATCAAAATGAGTATCAACTTTTTTAATGAATTCACAAGTTGCCAAAGCATCAGGTGGTAAAGGCTTTGCGATTATACATAAGGACATAGCTGCTGAAACTTGGTGACTAAAAACTTGTGTTGCCAATTTTACTCTCATAGATAGTAAAGATCCAGGTTCAAGGTGGCTGTCTGTCAACTTTGGAGCAAGTCGAACTGGATTTTGCTTGTCTATATTGTAAAAAGACTGCAAGTATTTCCATGATACAGTTTTTCCATTTGTAGATATATCATGTCTAATTAAATTATTTCGAAGACTTTTTATCAAGTGTGGAGGGTCAAATATTATGTATACATTTGTTTGAATTGAGGAAGGTGATATGTATGGTCTTGTGTTAAGGAACCCTAGTAACTTCAAAGCTGAAATATTTGTAGTACTTTGGTCACACACAACAGCTCGTACATGTAGTCCAATTGAAGTCAGTTTGTCTATTGCTTCTAATATTATTTGTGATAATTTAACTGATTGAACTGAGTTGTTGCTATAAAAATACGCAATTGGCTGCTTCCACTTTATTGTAATACCCCGAACCATTACAACTAAAACATGATTTAATGGTTTCCCATCTTCATCAATACCAATAATGTGGTCAAGATCTCTTTCATAGTCTACATGCTGTTTGAGAGACATCTCGTCAAATACAAGGCAACAGTTGCGTTCATTGACATTCATATAATTGACTCACATTTTGAGTAAAGCAAAAACTTTTGCAGAAAATCCAAGCTGTAGGTTTCCAAATGCTTTTGACAAAAAAACAAGAAGAGTTGTTTTACTTGACAAAGTAAAAATTTGCCTCAAAATACGAAATGCCTGTGGACTATGATACAAGATGAGTAGAGAAACTAGTTTGTCATGTATTGTCCACCTTTTTCCATGTTTTGTTCGCTTGTTCATTCTAAGTTGACTCTCAAAAAATTTAATCTGGTTTTCAGAAAGGTATTTCTTTGCAAGATCACAAATATGTTCAATAGATCCATTGCATTTTTTATTTTGTGTTTTTAAAAACAATAGTTTTTTGTTTAAACGATAATTTTTAACACAATTTAAGTTAATTACTTTTTGAAAATTTAACATCTGTTTTTTAGCTTTATCATTTATATTTAAATCTTCTGAGTTGGTAGTGTCTGTACTAGAAACAACTGCTAACTTTACAGACTGTTCATTAGAAATTGATTTACTTTTTTTGTGTGACTGAGGAAGAAATCTTTCTGAAGGTGCTTTTCTTTTAATAGAAATTTTGTGAGGAGGATTTGGTACATCAAAAAGGGTCGGAATGGCTGTTAAAATTGCTCTTTTGCCTCCAATATTTGTTGGATAATACTGTGTTGACTCAAAATGTTTACTGTATAGAGCGTATGATTTATTTAGTTCTAATGAAGTTTTCTTGTCGAGATCTTTGCGACGGCAATTGATAACCCACTGCTTACATCTGAAATAAAAATTATATATATATATATATATATATATATATATATATATATATATATATATATATATATATATGTATATATATATATATATATATATATATATATATATGTATATATATATATATATTTATATATATATATATATACATATATATATGTATATATATATATATATATATATATATATATATATATATATGTATATATATATATATATATATATATATATATGTATATATATATATATATATATATATATATATATATATATATATATATGTATATATATATATATATATATATATATATATATATGTATATATTTATATATATATATATATATACATATATATATGTATATATATATATATATATATATATATATGTATATATATATATATATATATATATATATATATATATATATATATATATATATATATATATATATATGTATATATATATATATATATATATATATATATATATATATATATATATATATATATACATATATATATATGTATATATATATATATATATATATATATATATATATATATATATATATATATATATATATATATATATGTATATATATATATATATATATATATATATATATATATATATATACATATATATATGTATATATATATATATATATATATATGTGTATATATATATATATATATATATTTATATATATATGTATATATATATATATATATATATATATATATATATATATATATATATATATATATATATATATATATATATATATATTAATAACAAAATAGATACTAAGCTATTTTTGTCTTTTGGAAAGCAAAAAAACGACACACTTTTATCAACATTTTTTCCTCGTTTATGATGACAATTAGGAGCTGCGCAAAATCCAGCAGACATGGTTTAGTACTCTATACTATAGTTTGACTACTTAAAATAATTGAAAGAAAAAGTATATAAAAATCAGCTGTATCATGCGATAGAAAAGTATATATTGTATTTTTTAATTTGTATTTTGTTGTTTATGTTTACAATCTGGCTGTACTACACATCCCAGAAGCCTTTGCGTCAGCAATTACAAGAATTTAATGCAAATTTTGCCGAGTCGCACCCCACTGCTTTACACTATTTTTGCTGGCGACGGCATTCCACGCCTTATCATTTATTATACATGGATTGTTTTTATTAGAAGTGTTTTCCTCTTCCAATTTTATTATTCTTTCTTCTAGATTTTTAATTCTTTCTTCTTTAAAGTTTAGCTTTAATTCTAATTGTTTAATTCTCTCTAATAATCGTCTAGTTTTTTTTTTTTCTTTTTTTTTAGGAGGCATTGTGATTGTTGTTTTATTAACTTTTTGTTCACTTTTTTTGATTTGTTAATGAATTTAAACTGGTTTGTTTTGTTAATGAATTTAAACTGAGTTAATACTAGTGATTTTTTTTAAAATTATTTTTTACTTGTTATGGGTAGGGGGCTAACCTTTAGTGGTTATTTTGTTCCCAAGTTCTAATCATCACAAATTTTGCAAAGTGTCGTTATTTGACATAAACATGAAAATATCAATGTTTGGAGTTTCTGACATGTCTAGAAGTTAGTTATCTCAAACACTTAAAAAGTTTTATTGGCCTTGAAATGGAGTGGAATTTTTTTTTGAAGGGGAGAAAAAATGTTAAATTTTTTTAAAAATACAATTCTTATTATCCTAACTCATATACCTGATTAACTATTCATGTTGCAATAGTTAATCATATTTCTAACATTTGCATGAAATGCAAATGTTAGAAAAAACTAAGATTTTTTTATACTGTTAGCTAACAGTTAAAAAAATTATTTGTATTTAATGTTTTAAATTTATAAACATATATCGAAATATCTAAAATTTTTAATCTATAAATTAGTACTGCTGAAGATTCAGCAATTCTTCTGCTTCTAAGAGAGGGCTTTGAGCTTGTTTGTGAAACATTGAATTGTTCAATCATTGGCTTTATTTTAAATGAGCTAATTCAGATGCCTATTCATTGTATGGTCCATGAGAATGACCAGTAAGTTCAATAAATTGTTGCAAGTGAGCTGAGATTATATGTATTTTCCAGGTCACAATAAGTTTTTTTCCTAGAAACTAATAAAATATTCTATAAAATAGATAATAATAATAGTATATTAAAAGTCAATTTAAAGCAAGTTCATTATAATTAACTGTACATCTGAACAATACTCCTGTGTGGCTTTGTAGGAACAACCAAAGTCAGTTATTAGTTGAAGATAACAAGGGTTAAGATAACTTCCGAAGGTTCCTTGAACTAATTTCTCAAATTTTCTCATTGGACATAGAAGTGACATAGAAGAGAGTTCAATTGGTAGCCTTAGTGGTCACAGTTTTTAAGAATAATCCTACATGTATTGCCTTCATATGTTCCCCCATGGTATCCTCTTCTAATACATCCAAGTGAGTCAACCCAGTCTTTATATTCAGGCCAATAAACAATTATATAAGTTGATATATGATTTACAAATCCCATTAACATATGAAGCTCCGGCAAAGGAATGACTTCAAGAACTAGTTTTGACTTGTTTCTCTCCTTTATTAGGCATACATTCACCACATTCTATCAAAGTTTATTAATTTGATTACCAATTTCAAAAAAATTATTTTTTTATTTAATAAAAAGATTTTTAAATTTTTAAATTAAATAATAGTTAACATTCACACCTTATAATCTTTCATTTCAGAACTCAGATAACCAGCTTCCATGTATCTCCGATGCCATAGATCCAATGATAAAAATGTTCTTGTCAACCCACCAAAAAGTTCACATCCTCCTTTACACCAAGCACAAGCATACATACCACCATGAGACTAAATTTTCTTATGTTTTTTTAAAAATCCTCATTAACTAATTAAAAGTTACATAATAAATTATTTTTAAATCATAACTTACTGAAATTCCTAGAAGAATATTAATTATTTTAAATCAGCTGCAAGAACATATTTACAATCTTCTAGCTTTAGAAGATCTAATAAAATGGCTAAATTTTTGTGTGTCTCCTGCAAGTTGTCACAGTATGCAAGAACTATGGAATGGGTAATTCCAGATATGTTCCGTGAGAACTTTGATCTTCGCATCGTTCTTTTTCTGGATCAAAGATGTTACAAATTACCTTAAGTGATCCACCTCCTACAAAATTTTAATTTTATATTAAAAAATATATATTATTAAGTTCTATATTATATATAGGTTATATATTATCTCTTCATCTAATAATGTTTTTACCTGAATCAATTCCAATTCGTATTAATGTTTGGTAAAGGGTTTTGCTTTCTGTAAGTCATTACAAAGTTAAGTAGCTCAGTAGTAGGAAAAGGAGAGATCAGAGGGATTTTCATTTTCAACCAAATTTTCAACCATAAATTAATATTAATATTGAGGTTAACATTGAACCATGTTGTGTATAATTTATTTAGATAAGAAATATTTTTTTTATTTTAAAAAAATTGATTTTTTAAAATAAGTGTTAATTTTTATTTCTTGTTATGAAATATTACGAAAAATTCTTAAAATGACGTCACGTGATTTTTTCCTGCTTCTTATTTACACCCTAATTCATGCAAGTATTTAATTAATTCAAGGTTGTTATTTTTAACAGCTTTTTCAAAAGCTTGGCCAAATTCAAATTCTGAAGCTCTGTACCCTAATTCATGCAAGTATTTAATTAATTCAAGGTTGCCATTTTCAACAGCTTTTTCAAAAGCTTGGCCAAATTCATATTCTGAAGCTTTATACCCTAATTCATGCAAGTATTTAATTAATTCAAGGTTGCCATTTTCAACAGCTTTTTCAAAAGCTTTATCAATTGCGTATTCTGAAGCTTTTTGCATTATTTCAAGATTTCCACTTTCAACAGCAAAATTAAATTCATATTCTGAATCTCTGTACCCTAATTCATGTAAATATTTTATTATTTCAAGATTTCCACTTTCAACAGCAGAATTAAATTCATATTCTGAATCTCTGTACCCAAATTCATGAAAGTATTTAATTAATTCAAGGTTGTTATTTTTAACAGCTTTTTCAAAAGCTTGGCCAAATTCAAATTCTGAAGCTCTGTACCCTAATTCATGCAAGTATTTAATTAATTCAAGGTTGCCATTTTCAACAGCTTTTTCAAAAGCTTGGCCAAATTCATATTCTGAAGCTTTATACCCTAATTCATGAAAATAATTTAGCAATTCAAGGTTGTTATTTTTAGCAGCTTTTTCAAAAGCTTGTTCAAATTCATAATTTGAAGCTTTATACCCTAATTCATGCAAGTATTTTAACATTTCAAGGTTGCCATTTTCAACAGCTTTTTCAAAAGCTTTTTCAAATTCATAATTTGAAGCTCTATACAATAATTCATGCAAGTATTTTAACATTTCAAGGTTGCCATTTTTAACAGCTTTTTTAAAAGCATTATCAAATATATCTTCTGAAGCTCTATACCCTAATTCATTTAAAAACTTCAACATTTTAATGTTGTTATTTTTAGCAGCTATTTCAAAAGCATTATCTACACTTTGTTTTTTTGATTGGATTAAATATTTAATCAAGTCAATTTTTCTTATTTTTACAGCAAAATAAACTTTATTACCTTGTTTATACCCATATTTTTTTAGATTATCATTTAGATCATCATCAATCATACCATTTTTATCTTCATCATATTCATCATATTCATCATCATTCATTTTATCATCTTTATTAATCATTTCATTTTCATTATATTCATCTTCAGTCATTTCAATATCATGAATATCAATTATATTTAATTTTTCTTCAACTAATATTAATCTTTCATTTATTGATTTTAATAATTCTTCAATTTTATTTTCCATTCTTTTTATATATAAAAGAAAATTATTTAAATCATTTTTCAAATTTTTTTTATTTTTTTAATGCGCATGCGCTGGATTTACTTACGCGTAGTAGCGCTTACACATAGTAGAATTGTCTTAACAATATTATATAGAGTCTCTTATAGCATATAATTCTAGTTCAGTTGCAGTTACTAAAGTAGTTGAACTATTTTCAATGTAATTAGTATATACAGGAAAAACATTAGCAGATCCATCTGTAAAACTGCTATTTGTACACACAGGTGCCCAATATCCACCACCTGTATCTAGTGTAAGTACTGCTCCTAAATTCATCATGCTTTTTGTAGTTGTCAAATTTAATCCGCAAAATCCTTGTCCTGTGTTTGTATTACCGAATGGTGTTTCAGTTGATATGAGTTGTGCAATATTTTGATAATGCATAGACATCATTGGAAGGAATGCTTGTTTAAATATAATACTTTTCCATTCACCATTAATTTTATATCTTAAGCGATATTTATAATATCCATCTTTGTTTTTATAAAAATAGTTATTAGATAACTGACTATATTTTGTAGCTGTAGTTGGATTAGCACTATCATAATTAAGTGATCCATAATAATTAGTTGGAAATAAATCTGTTGGTACTTGCCTAACAATTAGCGTTTCTCCTGATATGTAAAGTGGATAATAAACACTATTAGCATATAAATTATTTTTAGCTGTAATTAATGCATTATAAAATTGTTGAGCTAAAAATATTTGTTGACGTGAGTCGTAATGTACGGTGTCATCGTTTGTAATTCTCATAGAAGGTGGAAGATTAGTAATAGATATGCTTGCAGCGTATGGAATATATTCTCCAATAGTTGAAAGCGCATTTTGAACTGGTGTTGCTCTTGCTGAATTAGCTGAAACCCATCCAGGCCTCATTTGAAAAGTAAGGAATGGAATTGTATTTGATTTTGCTTGGGAATTTGTTAACGTGTAAAACTGATTAGATGAATACCCTATATAATCTCTTATGGTTTGAATAAAGTTTACTAGAATATGTCTATAATTATTATTCCAGCCATCTATAGAATCATTTTCTCCTTGAGCCCAAGTCATACCACAAAATTCTGCGTTATAATGTGATAAAATATATCTAATTCTACGAGTTAAATTTCTAAATCCAGTACCATATGGCATAAAATAATCATCACTAAAACCTCTTGCACCTAACATACATGGAAGTATCATTAAACTTTCATCTGAATGTATTATATTTAATGTGTTTGAAGTATCAGCATCTTGCATTATTAAACCTGCTAATATTGAACCATATCCAGCATAACACATATTATCTGATTCATTTACTTCAAGTCTAAGAGAACAAGGAAGTAACACATCATTTTGTCCATTATCCATTGCAAATTGTACTATTCGTCTATGCATATAATTTACAGTAGTTATTGCAGCAGAATGACCCCATTCTCTACCATAATAAGTATTTGATTGTCCAGCTACAATCAAAACTTTATATTTACGAGGATAAGGAATTATTCTTTCTATATAATTTGTAATAAATTCATATGTTGAATCAATATATTTTTTTGTAGCAGCGTCCTGTGCATTAGTAGGATCAACTACATTGATCAATTTATGTGAATTCAAATTTATATTAGCACTCATACTATTAGTTCCATCTAATTTTAGACATGCACTGCTAGAAGTTTGATTATTATCAACATAATACTTTGTAGCTGCATCTTGTGCATCTGTAGGATCAGCTACATTGATCAATTTATGTGAATTCAAATCAACATCAGTAGTGGCTGTATTGCCAACATTAATGTTGATATTTAATCCATCTGTTGTGTAACCATATAATGAATTACTACCGGCTATATTCATACTCATTTTAAATATGCTATATTTTTTTAATTCAATATAATGAGTTTTCAATACTTTGAAAATCAACACCTTCATCAAGCTTTTTTAATACATAAAGGCACAAGTGTCCGCAAAAAGAAGTGTCTCCAAACTGAATTCTTTTACTATTATAATAAACAGGACTGTGTAAATATTGAACAAGTTCAACTGGAGGTGGTAATGCATAAGAATCAAAACTTAACTTTTCTTCTCCATCTTTATACCAACAAATCCAATGAAATCCATTCGTACTTGAATCTCCAGTATTTAATATTCCACATTCTTTGTTTTGTGTATTTTTAGGTAATTCATCTCTTACAAATACACCTCTAAAGTTTTTAATTTTTAATTTTTTTGCTGCTTTTATTAATTGAAAGTTTGTTAAGGGTACATTTGGCAATATAATTCCTTCAACATTGATATGTTTGTCCATTTTTATTAATAGTTTTAGATTTTTTTAGATCTTTTTAAGATATAAAAAATAACTTACCTGTGTGTTTGCCTGCCTGCCTGCCTGCCTGCCTGTTTATTTCCAATCAATCTGAAATGAAAAGTTGGGTTCTGAAGGAACCAATGTTTTACTCTCTTTTAATTTATAATGTCCATATGCTAATGTGTGAATACCATCTTCTTGAATTACTCTTTTATCATCTTCTGCACTCAATGCTATTTTGTTTATTTCTTCAGTATAAACATCATGTAAATGTGATCTTATGACATTCATTTTTCTCATTTGATCTTTCTTATTTATAAGGCAGTCTTTATAATCTTCATGTGTAATATAATTTTTTACTACATTTCTCTTTACTCCTTTACATCTCTTTTTATCTTCTTCATCTATTTTGTAAGAATACAACTTTGATCTGAGTCCAATAAATTCCGTAATTTGTTTTCCTGCTGATTCATCTTTAAACATTCCTATTACTTTCTTATTTACACCAACTTTAAATCCATTTTGAACAGCTGGATGATCTTTATTAAATTCACTTGTATCAAATTTACTTTCAATATCATTAGAAATATCTTTATAAAAATCTTCTGTTTTTATTTCATAGATTAATGAATCTGTATCTGTATATAATAGTTTAGCTTTATCTCCATATTTATTTTTCATGTAATCATAATGAAATTCGTACATTAGTGTTTTGCTCAAATCTAAAATACACATACCCAAGTAAATGGGTTTGTTATAAACTAGTTTTGTTCTTTTCATATGTATTGCAATTAAATTTTCATCAAATATCGTTCTACTTTCATAATTTGGTTTTGATGATAATTTAATAGCTTCTTCTCTTTTAGAAACTAATCTCACATCAACTCTGTTTTCAATGTTTTCCATTGTTTTTCCAAACACTGAATTGTTCATAAGTTTGAAAAAGTCCTTTTCAAAATCATTTGTTGCTTTTGTTCTTAGATTTGTATTGAGTTCAATGTATTTACTTAACCATGCACTTTCTTCAAACTTTATTCCTCTGTGAATTTTTGTTATTTTCATTCCTAATCTTTCATACAGTTTTAAGTTTTCATAGTGTATGATATAATTTTTCTTATGATTTAAATTAGGTATTAATTTATCAACTTTGTCTATTTTTAATCTTTCAGGGGCTAGAGGATAATCATTATGAACATCATGTAAGTGTTCAGGATATTCCAAATCTACATCTAATATGCAAGAAGTAGATTTCCAATTTTTTAATTCTTCATCATTCATCCATTGAAATCCATGTGTTGGAAGGGGTTTGCTCATTGCCCACCCATATAAATTATTTGCATCTAGATACTGTATGTAAGTAGATTCTTTACTTTCATCATAATTTTCAATATATTTATTGTTAGCAGTTCCTAACCTGTTAGAAACCATACTAATTCCACCTCTTATTCCTTCTTTTATCATTAAGATCATATCATAATCACTTAATAATTCTAATTTTACTTCTGTTATTTTCAACGCAGCATCCCAAGCTAATCCTGGTGCTGTATAGTACCAAGCAGGATCTAATTTGTAATTGTTAAAACAGACATCTCTAAAATTTTCAAAGACATCAGCTAGTAGTAATACATCAGATTCGTTATATAAATTATGGTAATCTCTAAATGTTTTACATTGAAACTTTTCCCATACATTTTGAGCATGTAAATAATCTTCATCACTTATTCCTTCATCATTTAATCTTGAATAAAATGATTCTTTTGGTGGTAATTGTGTTTCATTTAATTTATCAATAGAGTCAACCCATTCATAAGGATAAACACCTTTTCTTAACAATAAATTGAGTTCATTTCCAGAATAGTATTTACTCAAATTTTTACATTGATCTTTTGACAAATTTTTAGTTAAACTATCTAAACTAGCAGCCATAAATTTAAAACTATCGAGAAAACGGAGCTCTCTCTTAATTTCAACTTTTTTTCCTTTTTTATTCGTAAACTCATCAAGTTTAATTTCTTTAGAAAAGCTGATATACTTTTCTTCATTGTTGGGTATACAATTTATTTTTCCTCCTTCTGATTTTCCTCCTTCTGACAATTTCTTTATGAACAAGTGAGAGTCATAACCAGATAAATTGTGAAATAGTACTGGAATAAATTTTGGAATTTTAAATTGCAAATTACAATCACTATGTGCAGCACCTCTATATTTTCCAGTAATATGACAATGATCTCGTACTTTATCATTATTAAGATCTTTTTCACAAATGTGGCATTTTTCTGCATTATCAAAATTATTTTTGTCTTTCATAGTCAATATCATATCTTTTGGAAACTTTAAGTACTTGTTATAAATCTTTTTTACATCTTCTTCAAGCATATTAACAAATTTTTGTGCTACATCTTCATCTTCATTACTTGCAGTGAATGTAACGAGTTTACTTTGATATACACTTTCATCGAAGCATTTAATATAGTAGCAAAATGAACTAGGTGTATGCTTTTGGTACTGCTTTGTATAAGATTCATTTGGATTAGGTGTACAAGTG